AGAAAGAGAGGAAAAAGAGAGAGAGAGAAAAGAGACAGAGGAGAGAGAGAGAGAGAGACAGGAGAGAGAGACAGGAAAGAGAAAGAGAGACAGAGGGAAGGAGGGAGAGAGAAAGAGAGAGAGAGGGAGAGAAAGAGAAAGAGGGAGGGAGGGAGAAAGAAATAGAGGAAAAAGAAAGAGAGAGAAAAGAGAGGGGGAAGGGAGAGAGAGAGAAAAGAGAGAGACAGGAGAGAGAGAAAGAGAGACAGAGGGAGAAAGGGAGAGAGAGAGAAAGAGAGAGAGAAAAGAGAAACAGGAGAAAGAGAGAAAGAGAAAGAGGGAGGGAGGGAGAGAAAAATAGAGAAAAAAGAAAGAGAGAGAGAGAAAAGAGAGGGGGAAGGGAGAGAGAGAGAGAAAAGAGAGAGAGACAGGAGAGAGAGAGAAAGAGAGACAGGAGAGAGATACAGGAAAAAGAGAGAGGGGGGAGGGAGAGAGAGAAAGAGACAGCGTGAGGGAGGGAGAGAGAAAGAGAGAGAGGAAAAAGAGAGAGAAAGAGAATAGAGGGAGGGAGAGAGAGAGAGAGAAAAGAGAGACAGGAGAGAGAGAGAGAAAGAGAAAGAGGGAGGGAGGGAGGGAGAAATAGAGGAAAAAGAAAGAGAGACACAGAGAAAAGAGGAGGAAGGGAGAGAGAGAGAGAAAAGAGAGATACAGGAAAGAGAAAGAGAGACAGAGCGAGGGAGGGGGAGAGAGAGAGAGAGAGAGAAAGAGACAGACAGACAGACAGACAGAGACTCTGAACTTTGGAAGTGGGGGAAAAAGGATAACAGGGAAGACCCAACGCCACTTGGACTAATCGCCCAGATCTTCAAGTGCCTCCTTCTCATAATCTTCTGCCATAAAATGGAAAGCCTGCAAGTGTGGGCCGCCTTGTCTAGGGAAGGAGACAGCTCTATCTTTGAATGCTGCCGCCTCCCCAACCCCGGAGATCCAGGCCTATTAACGTGGTTGTTTTATCTCCTCCTCCCACAAGGTGAAGGGAAAAATACTTAAGAGCTGGATATTTCAACACCTGCCCTTTTATCTCCCGGCTCCCGCTGCTATCATCTAAGGCGGTTAATTACCCAGTTTGGACTTCTCCTGCAGGAGACAGCAAAAAAAAAAACCAAAAAACCAACAACAGCCAGCAGCCCTTTTAAACTGACAGCTAATTATGTTGCACTTATCTTGAACACCAGTCAGAGCAAGAGGCTGCCGCCTCCTTTCCCAGTTCTCGAGACCTTGACTTGCCAAATAAATGCCTTTCGCTCTCTGCAGCTCTTTGACAGGTGGGCTCCTCGACTTACGAACCCAACAGTAGCCAAGAAAGGTCATCAAAGTGGGGCAAGGCTTACTCAACGACCTCTCGCTTGGCAACAGAAATCCCGGGGCTCGATTGTGGTCGTTATTGAGAGCGACCTTGTATGCGGTTAGGTGTATCTGAACTTATGGCCTTTCTCGCTATGGTTGTTATGAGATTCAGAGCGGATGTTAGATTGGTTAACCCGGTTGTTTAAGTGAATCTGGCACCTGGCTTCCCCCATTGAGTTAAATTGTTAAGTGAATCACTGCAGTTATTAAGTTAGTAACACAGTTGTTAACAGATAACAGATAATCAGAGTTGGAAGGGACCTTGTAGGTCATCTAGCCCAACCCCCCGCCCAAACGGGAGACCCTACACCATTTCTGACAGATGGCAGTTCAATCTCTTCTTGAAAGTCTCAAGTGATGGTGCTCCCACAACTTCCGAGGGCAACTTCTGTTCCATGGGTTGATTGTTCTCACGGTCAGAAAGTTTCTCCTTATTTCTAGATTGAATCTCTCCTTGTTCAGTTTCCATCCATTATTCCTTGTCTGGCCTACAGGCACTTTAGAAAATATATTGACCCCCTTCCTCTCTGTGGCAGCCCCTCAAATATTGGAAGACTGCTATCCTGTCTCCCTTGGTCCTTCTCTTCCCTAGACTAGCCAGGCCCAGTTCCTGCAACCGTTTTTCGTATCTTTTAGCCTCCAGTCCCCTAATCATCCTGGTTGCTCTTCTCTGCACTTTTTCTAGAGTCTCAACATCTTTTTTAAAATGTGGTGACCAAAACTGGATGCAGTATTCTAGGTGTGGTCTTACTAAGGCTTTATAGAGCGGTGTTAGTACCTTACTTCTTAAGTGAATTTGGTTTCCCCGTTGCTTGTCAGAAGGTCACAAAAGGTGACCAAATGACCCCAGGATGCTGGAACCACCATAAACACATGCCAGTTGCCTCGATTTACAAACAGTTCATTTAGTGACCATCCAAAGTTTCAACTGCACTGATAAAAGGCTGGCCGTTTTTCACACTTATGACTGTCATGGCATCCCCACGATCATACAATCAAAATTCAGAGGCTTGGCAACTGACTCATACTTATGACGGTTGCAGTGTTTTGAGGGGAGGGTCATAGGATCACCTTTTATGACCTTGGGACAAGCGGTGTCAATCATTCTCCTCCCCTTTTAATGACACCTTCATCCCTTGCCAGGGTGGAGTCAGGGCAACTGAATGGAGCTGAGTGTTTACTGGCTGGATGCCCTTCCTGTCGCCAATGAGGAGTTATATTCAGCAGACAGTGGTGGGATTCCAACTTTTTTCCTACTTGTTCTATGAGAGCGTGCTTCATCGTGCCCAGGGGGAGAAATATCTGCCTGTAGCTAGGATCGAACTCACAGCCTCCTGATTGTGAGACGAGAGCTCTACCTCTAGGCCACCGTACCCCTCGCGACAAGCAATGTCCATGGGGAAGCCAAATTCATTGAACAGCCGTTGTGCTAACTTAACAACTGAGTGTTTCACTTAACATCTGTGGAAAGAAAGGTCATAAAATGCAGGCAAAACTCACTTAACAAATGTCTCACTTAGCAGCAGAAATTTTGGGCTCATTGTAATCGTAAATTGAGGACTACCTGTCTGTGCTTAGATATATCTGAACTTAAAAGTCTTGTAGTGGGTAGCAGGGTCTTCTGAAAGAACAGCACAGGAATTTTTCTGCAGGATCTTCCCCTCTTAGGGATCTGCAATGACCCACCACTGAGTTGGAATATTCAACAAAACGTAAGAACATCACACACCATTTATGTTCTGTGGGAAAGCGAGTGGAGGATCAGACATCCAAGTATCCTTAGTTACATTTGCAGTATATAAACATTGTCTTCTCAATTATCTAAACAAATGTAAGTCCTTGTTATCTTAATTTACAGTTTGTTCCTGTGTATGATGTTACTCTAAATAGCAGGCCTGCTTATTTGAACCTCCTGCATCTCCTAACGGGGCAATTATCGATTCCAATATGTCGTTTTGGGGGATAAAAATAGTCCTCGGCTTACAACAGTTACCTTTAGTGACCGTTCGAAGTTACAACGGCACTGAAAAAAGGGAGCATTTTGCACACTTAAAACCACTCCAGCATCTCCATAGTCATATGACCAGAATTCAGGCACTTGGCAACTGGCATGTACTTATGCCGGTTGCAGGGTCCTGGGGTCATGTGATCACAACCTCCTGTCCAGACAAAGTCAACGGGGAAGCCAGATTCACTTTACAACCCTGTTATTAACTTAAAAACTGCAGTGTAACAGCCCTGAAGTTGGACTGAGTGAGGCCATTTTCTAGCTTCAGTGTTGCCACACTGGAACTGAGGGTTAGGGAGTAGAGATAGAGGGGGTTTGTAGCCAAAACAAAATACTTTCTCTTGGGAACCAAGGACAGTCCCACAGGTGGTCGGAGAGAGGCAGAGTGACGTTACCAGTCAACCAGCCAACACGTTGATTGGATCATGTGACTTGTCATGCTCCTGTCAGAATCTGACTCGGAGGGGAAGCCGAACAGCTGACAGGGAGCGGGAGTGTGGCTCCGTTGGTTGTGGAAGAAACTGGGGAAGGGCAAAGTCCAGCTGGGCAGAGCAGGGGAGAGGTAGAGCAAGGGAGAGGGAATTCAGAGGAAGACCCAGGCCCACCCCCTCTTCATCCTAGGGCACACAGGGAGGAACGGAGAAGAGAGCAATGTGGGTTGCGTGGCTTACGGGGGAGGAAAGGGTCCTGATTCCCTTCATTAGCCACACCTGGGAAGAGAGTTTAAAAGAGATGCATGCTGAGTGCGGTGTCTGCTAGGAGCAAACGTGAGTTTGTCTTGTGTTGACTTTGGTTATCCTTATCCTTATCAAAGGATAAGGTCTGCAACCACAGAATTAAATAAATTAGTTCTCCCAGAGGAACTGCATATTCACCAGAATAAACATACACACGTACACCCACACACACGCTCCTCGTCACCCTAGAATCAGATGTAGACACTTCAGGTTCCCCCTATTAAAAAATCTGCCACTGAACCCCATTTCTGAGCAGCCTGTCCTAAAAGCAAACTGTTTTTATTTTTTCTTTCTGTCTGAATCTCAATTTTTATTTATTCTTCTGCAATCCCAGCTCGAGTTGGAACCCCAAGTTATTCTTCCAACACCAGAAACAATCCATACTCTGCTAGTTCTCAATACACAGCAATGACTGTCTATTTTAGCCCAATTCTGTAGCCTTGGTGGACCAGCGGTTAGAATGTGCAGTATTGCAGGCAAACTCTGCCCACTGCCAGGAGTTAAATCCTGACCAGCTCAAAGTTGACTCAGCCTTCCGAGGTCGATAAAAATGAGGACCCAGATTGTTGGGGGCAGTATGCCGACATTGTAAACCACCCAGAGAGTGCTGTAAAACATTGTGAAGCGGTATATAAGTCAAAGTGCTATTGCTATTGCTAATTCAAAGCACTAGGGTGAATTTACAGCAGCCTAAATAGCTGGAGACCCTGTCTCTCTGCCATCTACCTTAAGAATATTAGGGGGAAAAAACTCTTTTCGGGACTTTGGGTATATGATGTAAAAACAAGGAAGGAAAGTTTCTCCGTGCAAGAAATTTCAGGAAACTGAAAAACAGAAAGTTTTCTTAAAATTAGTTTTGCCACACTCACCCGGAGCCTGGCTTTGGGTAGGGCGACAGCTCCCTGCTTGATAATTTCGAGTACCCGTTCCACTGACAGCGCAGCTCCAGGATGGTCGATCCGTGAGCTAAAGAAGCTGATCACCTTGAATGAAACAGGAGATAAAGACATGATTTAAAGAATCTGTGCCCGGAATCTGTCCGCCACATTAAAAAACAAAATTTGAAAATCTGCACAACTGCATGATGTTTCTTAATGGGAACTCGCCAACTATATAGCGGTTAATGAGCGGTTTCTTAATGGGAAGTCGCCAACTATATAGTTGAATGCCAGACTGAAACTAAGACTAAATATTTATAAAGCAAGTGAGCCAGAATTTAAGTATTGTTTCAAATCTGCTTCTTATTTGAGAATTGGGATCCAACAATGTCCATATAATTGTACAGCAATGGTTCTCATCCTTTTCTTCACCATGGATCTTTTTAAAATATCGTTAGTGGCCACGGACCCCCAAGACTTAACTCAAGATATAAATCATAACATTTCTTCAAACTTTTGCTGACCTCCTGTGATATCGCGCCCCCCCTCCCACAGGCTTCCACAGAACACAGGTTGAGAACCACTGCAGTATAGCACAAAGATCAGGAAATTAAGGTGAAAATACCCACAATGACCTCCATTCAAATCTTATCATTATTAACTTTCTACTGCCTTAGTCATTTGTGCATATTAGTGTTGTGATTAGCCGGCAGCAGGTGCAGACGGCTGAGGAGAGCGAGGACTCAGATGAGGGGCCAGGACCATTAGGGAGTGGACTGCTGCCTTCAGAGATTGTGGGGGCTGGCAGCAGCGATGAGGAGGTTCCCGAGGAGCCTGTGCCAAGTGCGCGTGCGCGCAGGGCTGCTTGCAGGAAAGAGCAGCTGCAGCAGCAGGGCGACTCGGGAGTAAGGCTGCAAGTTAATGGCTCCTCCTTCAAGAAGATAAAAGCCAGCTGTGAATCGGACATTCTTCGCAGGAAGCAAAGACATTTTGAAACTCCAGCCTCGTGGACACTGCAGTATCTTAGTTGGTATTTGAAGACTGTTGTGTTGTAAAATATTTCTAGGCAACCTTATCTGTTATTTTTGGCAGCCTCACAAAGTTTTTGGCGAGGCTCGTGCTTATCAAAGTTAATTAGTTTGCAGCAGCCATTTAACCATGGATTCGTAAGAATCATTAAAAGGTTTCTGTTCCCTTTGGTTCGTGTTTGTTTTATTGGACAAGGGTTTGGGTCAGAACAACTAACACCATATGCCAGTTTCTTAAAATAATTACTTTGTTGTAAAATGACTCTTATGGGAGTCATTTGAGGGGGGTTGTTAAGTACCCAAATGTTGGTCAGTAGAAAACACCACATTTACAAAAAGGTAAGTTTCTGTCAGGTGTGAAAGACAAGGGTTACACATGAAGGTCTAATTAAACTGATTTATCAGTTTAATTTAACCATTTGTCTGAAATGGTATACCAGGGGTCTTCAAACTTGACAGCTTTAAGACTTGTGGATTTCAACTCCCAGAATTCCTCCTCCAGTCATGTTAGCTCAGGAATTCTGGGAGTTGAAATCCACAAGTCTTAAATAGGCCCGTTTTGTCACTTCCTGTGTTTCCGGAAATACCGGAAGTGACAAAATGGGCCCATCTTTCGGCCTGCAAAGCCTACAGAGGCTTCCCTCAAGCATCTGGCAGGTCGAAAAAGGCCTCAAACGGGCCGAAAATCAGCTGGGAGGCGCAGTGCAGGTAAGAAGGGGTATTGTGCGCACATGCGCAGGAGACGTGAGAGGGACTGCGCGCATTGCCTTCTGGGTGCTGGTACGCGAGCGAGCGCACACATGAAATTTTTGGCATAGGAGCCCAAAAAGGTTAACCAGCACTGTCCTATAATAATCACCGATGTCATTGATAAGCCACAATACTACCGCCTTTACCCTGGGGAAGCCACTCCATATATACATGGACGCCCCAAAATCCACGAAGAGGGAACTCCACTGAGACCTGTTCTCAGTGGCATCAACCCAGTTGCTTACAACTCTGCAAAACATTTAACCACTTTAATTAGCTTACTAAGAAATTCCAGCAGCCTTTTGAAAAGCACCTTTGGGATATCCAATTTGCACTTCCTTTAACTTCCACTTCAATGCCTAACTTGCTTTGGTCTTGCAGTGCATTATAAGAAAAGTAAGGTTTTATATTTAGGGCAAGAAAAAACAAATGCACAAGTATAGAATAGGTGGTACCTAGCTCAACAGTGTAGTAACTGCGAGAGGGGTCTTGGAGTCCCAGTGGACAATCAATTAAATATGAGCCAGCAGTGTGCTTCTACTGCCAAAAAAAGCCAAGGCAGTCATAGGCTGCATTAACAGAGGGATAGAATCAAGATCACATGAAGTGTTAATACCACTTTATAATGCCTTGGTAAAATCACACCTGGAATATTTATCCAGTTTTGGTCACCATGATGTAAAAAAAAATGTTCAGACTCTAGAAAGAGTGCTGAGAAGAGCAACAAAGATGATTAGGGGACTGGAGGCTAAAACATATGAAGAATGGTTGCAGAAATTGGGTATGTCTAGTCTAATGAAAAGAAGAGCTAGGGGAGACATAATAGCAGTGTTCCAATATCTCAGGGGCTGCCCCAAAGAAGAGGGAGTCAAGCTATTCTCCAAAGCACCTGAGGGCAGGACAAGAAGCAATGGAAGGAAACTAATCAAGGAGAGAAGCAACTTAGAACTAAGGAGAAATTTCCTGACAGTTAGAACAATTAATCAGTGGAATGACTCGCCTCCAAAAGTTATGAGGAGGTTTTTAAGAAAAGCTTGGACAGCCATAGGGTTTCCTGCCTGAGCAGGAGGTTGGACTAGAACAAGGGTCTTCAAACTTGGCAAGTTTAAGACTTGTAGACCTGAACTCCCAGAATTCCTGAGCTAACATGACTGGAGGAGGAATTCTGGGAGTTGAAGTCCACAAGTCTTAAAGCTGTCAAGTTTGAAGGCCTCTGGACTAGAAGATCTCCAAGATCCCTTCCAACCCTGTTATTCTGAAAGGGATCTCAACCAGTCTAACAATGCCTCTAAATACACACCTTATCTTGAGAAATCAGGCAGACAGGAATACTGGCCCTGCCATTGAGACTGCTAACATGCCTTTAATCATCTCCTTCAAGGACTTGGAAATGGTTTGCTGCTTGCGATTCCTTTGTACTCCAGAGTTAGACACCCACCTGGAGCCATTAAGGCTCATTAGACCTTTACAACTCTGCTGCTATTAGTAAAACAAAAAGAGAGCTGATGGGCTGATTATTCAAGGATTCAAATGAGACACACCATTCCTGCAAGCAAACTACAGAGGCTGCCTCCCTAATCTGGGGCAGCAGCACCCAAGGCTCTGGAGAAACAAGTGCAAAGCAAATGAGAAATTCAGTAGGGAAAAAAAAACACCTTTACTCAGTAGTTAGTACTCACTTTGCTGATTCTAATGATTTCTTACTGAAAATCCTAAACACATTTCTTTCAAAAATGTGAAAAGCAACCAGTTAGAAGGAGACTTTTTTTTTTACAATGCTACATCACAAATAGCACTTGCAATAAATATGCCTTTTTTAATCTGATAATCAGAGTTGGAAGGGACCTTATAGGTCATCTACTCCAACCCCCCCACCCGCCCAAGCGGGAGACCCTACACCATTTCTGACAAATGACAGTTCAATCTCTTCTTGAAGGTCTCTAGTCTCTTTTTTTTCTTTTTTCCTTTTTTCTTTTTCTTTCTTTTTTCTAAATTTTTTCCTTCTTTCCTTCTCTTTCTTCCTTTCTTTTCCTTTGCTTATTTGTGTATGTATTGTTGGTTGGTTTTAATTGTAAAAACTAATAAACTATATTAAAAAAAAAAAGCCTCTAGTGATGAAGCTCCCACAACTTCTGAGGGCAACTTCTGTTCCATTGGTTGATTGTTCTCCCTGTCAGAAAGTTTCTCCTTATTTCCAGGTTAAATCTCTCCTTGTTCAGTTTCCATCCATTCTTCCTTGTCTGGCCTACAGGCACTTTAGAAAATAGCTTGACCCCCTCCTCTGTGGCAGCCACTCAAATATTGGAAGACTGCTCTCCTGTCTCCCCGGTCCTTCTCTTCCCTAGACTAGCCATGCCCAGTTCCTGTAACCATTCTTCATATGTTTTAGCCTCCACTCCCCTAATCATCCTGGTTGCTCTTCTCTACACTTTTTCTAGAGTCTCAACCTCTTTTTTTTAGTGTGGTGACCAAAACTGGATGCAGTACTCTAGGTGTGGTCTTACTAAGGCTTTTTAGAGTGGTATTAGTACCTCCCTTGATCTTAGTTGTATCCCTCTGTTAATGCAACTTAGGATTGCATTGGCTTTTTTGGCTGCTGCTGCACACTGCTACGCCTTTTTCACTTTGCTATATTATTCTCTAGGATAGGGATGGGCAACCATGGCTCCTTTATGACCTGTGGAGCTCAACTCCCAGAATTCCTGAGCCAGTTGTGTGAAACTATTTTTTCACACTTAATGACAATCACAGCATCCCGTGGTCATGGGATCAAAATTAAACCGCTTGACAACTGGCATATATTTATGATGGTTGCAACGTCCGGGGCATGTGACCAGCAGAGTCAATGGGGAAGCCAGATCCATTTAGCAACCACGTTACTAATTGTTGGAAGTTCAAACCTACCCCTCTCCTAGGAAAATGAAATATTTTAGGATATACTAAAAAGGCAGAATATTTCCCCTAAAAAGAGAAGTAAAAACTCAGAAGCAGAAACTCACCTCAGAAGCAGCAGCTCACCCCCACCTTTGCTAATGGGGGGGGGGGGGGCATTAAGGCCTGGGCCGAGTATTCTACATAACAAAGCCCTCTACCCATCTCACCACCTGGCCTGGGGAGATTGCATCAGCCAGCACTCAGGTGAAGTCATGTGGTCCAGACAAAGCCTACAAAGTTAGCTAAGACTCCTATCTCTGAGAGTCTGACAGCCAATGGGATACATTTCTTACACAGGAACAGGAAACACTAGGGTGGGAGGTCCAACAGAGGGTATATAACTGAGGGTCTCTCAGCCATCTTGCTCCTTTTCTTTTCCTTCACCCAACATCT